AGTGGTTTTCACATTCATCTTTGATCCTTATGTGAATCAGTTACCGTGTTGGTGGTTGCAGTATGGTACTAACTGAACTTTCGAAAGTCACTTTACTGGAGAAAAATTCTCCTTCTCATTCCCATCCCTATTTAGGAAAAATCTAGGCCCCAAAGACAGATGGCAGAGGAGTTGATGAAAGGGAAACTTGTAAGCAACTATCCAAAAATATATTAATATTTTAAATGTCTGAAGTGTTTTCTTTGTGAGTGGATGTATAGTAAAGTTCTAGGTGAGAGAGAGAGAGAGTGAGTGTGTCTTTTAGTTTTGGGGATTTGCCCTTAAAATAATAAATCCTTAAGATTTATTAAGGATTTATGATGCAGATGAGGAAAAACAAAGTAAATTGCCATTCTGATTTCCTTCTAGACTGAGAGAATTCAATAATAATGAGACGAATTTTCATTCAACCCAGCCACAATCTGAAAAGATATTGATGTTTGCCCCCCCCCATTTGAAAACACTCAGTGGTTCTTTATAAAGCATGTTAGATTGAAATCAAATGGGCATCAGAACCATGAAATTCCTATGAAAGGTGGGATAGTAAACAAATTGTTTAGTAGGGGGAGTTTCTTGATCTAGGCTTATAATTCTTTTAAGATTTATCCTAAGGCTTTTATACCTGCTTTGCTCATGACTGACTCACTCAGTGACTCATTGTTATCTGATGAGGATCTTATTTCACTTTTGAAAGCAGAGTGTTGTTCTCTTTGTTGCGGTAGTAAGGGGTAGCAGGAAAAGATTGACTCTGGGCAGTGCAATTGAAACCCCCCCCCCCCCCCATCCATCTGGAGATTAGAGAGTACCCTGCATGCAGTATCTGTTCTCCTGCTTGCAATTCATAATGAAAAGACCTATTTTTGAAGCATGTAACTATCCCTCCTGCCTAAACAAAACTATTCTTAAATACAGGGGTAATTATCAGCACTCTCTATGAATTCATTTATAATTTGCTTTATTTTTCTTTTCATTGTTTTGTAAGAGGATCTTGGACACTATTTTTGTGACCAGGTAGACCTTGGACTCCTGCATCCTTTTGAGCCATGAATTTTCACATTATGTTCTCTAAGTCTGGAAAAATGACTTGCCCATATTTTGCTGGGTGTTGTATGATCACACACTTTTTTCTCTCATTGAGATCTTGCTGAGTGAAAAATTGGTGTGGCATGAGATGGTCTATAAAATTTACATTAACCTATCCCAATTCTGTGTTTGGAGACAGCTGAATACTCCTTGCATTTGTTTGATAATTTCTTACCCTGCATGCTGGCTTATATTATGGTGTTGTTATAGATTCCAGAATATGAATATTTAAGGCAAAACCTCGCTAATTCAAGCATCTGAACTTTATGGGTCTCAAGGTTGAGCAGTTCACTTGCAGGAATTAGACTGGCATGTGCCTGGCAAGCGCAGTCATTCTCCTAGAATCTTGAGGGTTCTGCAGAGCTAGAGTCTCTCCATGGCCACGCCAAGTTTGCTGTCAGTCCACTTGGTGTGTAGTGGCCTCCACCAGCCCTTTGGACATGACACAGAGCAGAGAACCTGGTCCTAGGTTGGCATGTAGCTAAGAGCTTCATAGCATATTTGACGCTGTAATAAATGAGGAGGTACTGAAATAGTTCCTATTTTTAAACACTTTGACTCACTTTCTAAGATGTAGCACAACCCCAAGGAATATTTAGCATTCCAATTCTTTATAAAAAATATTTATTACAGGGGCTTCCCTGGTGGCGCAGTGGCTGAGAGTCCGCCTGCCGATGCGGGGGACGCGGGTTTGTGCCA